AGCACCATTACTAGTATATTCTTGAAGACATCTTACAAGTCCCAATATATTTAAAGTATTGGTCTTACAGAACAATCCAATTTGTCAATTTTAAACAACTTGTACATTAAAATAAGACCCAGCTGGTTTGGTCTAGTTTATTTATAAACACTGTTATAAATGTAATTTGGTCTTTATCTTTTGTAACTTTGCTTTCCCTGTAAGTGTTTCAGTATTAACTGACGTCATAAATTTGCTGCTGTCCTCTAATATATGGTTAACCCTTATTATAGTCTCTCACATATTGTCTACGTTTGTTATAACTAAACATGTATGTTTTCCAAAATTGGTACATTTTTTATATTCTTCTTGAAATAAATTGTATAGGAAAGTGTGACAACTGGTGTGAGATCTTGTTATCTGAAGGCTCATCGGTGTTAAAGATAGGAACAACCTTTTATGTGTCAACAAAGGTTCTAAAGATGATAATAAAGTGTCAAAGAGTAGTTTTTTTTGTATATACCTGTGTATAAGTCTAAAAGATAAGTTCATACACTAATTTTCTTTCTTCAAAGTAATTAAGTTTAATCTTCATATCTGAGTCACCCATGAATGTGTTGGAAAGAGTGGTACTGGTTTAATTTGTGGAAGTGATTTGTGATAAATTATTATTACAACTCTTTTCAATGAGGTTTTTCAAACAAATGAAAACTAGCCAAGTGGTACAAGCCTGGTCTGGTAATAAACTAAAATTTAAATATGTTTAAGAGAAGGTAAAAAAAAAAAATAACTTGGTGATTGTCTAACTAAAGCAACTTTTAAATTGGCATAATTCATTACTTAGAATTCTCCTTAACTATATCGCTACAGTCGGTGCACACGTCACGACTTTTTAGAGTTACATTCAAAATGTATTTAAACTACTTTATTATTATACAAATAAAAGTGGCATCAAAACATACTTAATAAATCGAATTTTAATATAAGTTTTAAGCTTTTAATTTTATAAGGAAATATCTTAAGACATCTTTAATATCCCCTAGTAGAAAAATTGTCACATTTACTGTCTATATCTTCCCTTTTCTCTAACTTATTTACCACTCCTCCAAGAAGTACAGAATTTAACATAAATTACAAGTTATAACATAGTTATTGCTCACATAAAGCATGATTTTTATAGCCTTCAAACCTTGTTTGTTTACAGAGCCATAAACTAGAAAATCACACTCACCTGCCACATTTTATAAACTATAAAACTAGTTAAAACTTCTGGATTCAGCTTAAGAAAGTTGGCATCATTCTTTTTACAAAGCTTACAAATTCAAAAATGTACGATTTCCTTATTATTGATAACTTTTACAGGACCCAGACGTGCCTGGGAAGAAACCAAAAATGCAAACTTTCAAAGTGGATCTTAACTCGTGAGTCTTGATTTTTGTTTATTTTTTTGAAAGTATGATAATGACAAATAGGTGATTGGTATTAGGGCCAGAGTTTTGTTTTTTCTTCATCTAAACTAATTACATACAGTGTAGTAGTTTGAAGTAGAAGAAATTTTTTTGTATTAAGTGTTCTTTAGTTTAAAGAAATTATAATATAGTAATATTTATTATTCTGGAACAAGTAGCAACAATCATGCTTTTATTTGTGTGTTTTAGATCCAAAGTTATCTTGATTACAGCATTATGTTTATAGAATTTAAGATGGTAGTGTCAACAAAGTTTTGATATTCAAATATTCTCTAAGAATTGAGAGAAGTTTTATTGAACAGCTAAAAGATTACAAAGGAAAATAGCAAGTGTTCACTATGCTCAATCATTGTTTTCGTTGTGTTCACTATGCTCAATCATTGTTTTCGTTGTGTTCACTATGAACAATCATTGTTTTCGTAGTGTTCACTATGCTCAATCATTGTTTTCGTAGCGTCCACGATGCACAATCATTGTTTTCGTAGCGTCCACGATGCAATCATTGTTTTCGTAGCGTCCACGATGCACAATCATTGTTTTCGTAGCGTCCACGATGCACAATCATTGTTTTCGTAGCGTCCACGATGCACAATCATTGTTTTCGTAGCGTCCACGATGCACAGTCATTGTTTTCGTAGCGTCCACGAGGCACAGTCATTGTTTTCGTAGCGTCCACGATGCACAGTCATTGTTTTCGTAGTGTCCACGATGCACAATCATTGTTTTCCATGAAATAGAAATAGTGATTTGATCAGGATAGTAGACTGTAAACAACTCCACTCAGTGATGAGAGCTCTGTAGTGGCTCAGCGGTAAGGCTTATGACATTAGGCTGTAAACAACTCCACTCGGTGATGAGAGCTCTGTAGTGGCTCAGCGGTAAGCTTGAAGGCTTATGACATTATAAAATTTGTTTTGATACCCGTGATGGGCACAGCATGGATACCCCATTGTGTAGCTTTGTGCTTAACAACAAACTGTAATGAGAAGAGCTTTTAGTACATATTTTTGGTAAATTAGTTATTTTTAAACTGAATATATTGTATGATGACAGTGATTAAGTATTATAGTGTAATCTATCAGTAAAATAAATTGATTTATTAGTATCAATGGCATATGCACATAACCTGTAGTGTTATATAAAGTTTATCATAAAATCTGATATTATAATACATGTTTTTCTAGTCTTGTGTTCCATAGTAATGAGTGTCATAATGAAGTTTTGAAATGTTTGTATCTTAATTTGAGACCTTTTGATGATGAACAAAGGATATTGTAGAGAAATTTTTTACACTTTATCATTACCAAATCATTGTATTTGCATGCTACTATAAAAATACCTTGAGAAGTGTAACCAATCTGACTTTTAAATATTGAAATGTATTTAGTTTTCATGGAAAATTTATTCTCATGTTTATAAATTTTTGGAATCAGAACAGAGCATGTTCAATACTTTTCAAAATAAATTATAAATTCCATCCCCCCTTTACGGAAGCTAAAGCAAAATCGTAATATTGAATAATACTGAATTTGTTTTTATGTTCATTAGATGTGGCCCCATGGTCTTGGATGCTCTGATCAAAATCAAGAATGAGGTAGATCCCACTCTGACTTTCCGCAGATCCTGCAGAGAAGGTTTGTACTAGTGGTCTTAGTTCATCACTGACTGCTTAAATGATTAATGGTTTCCAGTCTCTTTAACAATTTCATTACTTTTTAAAACATTTATTTGGTTAAGATGGAAGCAACCAATATTATGCGTAATGTTCAGTATTACTCCCAAAAGAAAAAAATTAACAAATAACCTATTTTTCATACATAAGTTTAGTACTTGTATTTTGTATGTATGTTTAAAGCTTAATCTAAGCTAATAATGATTCTGTTCAATGGTGTATATTTTTAGAAATTTTATATTTTTCTTACTCATTTTTTTTATTCATCTTGGAACTTAAATTGGCTAAAATAGTTAAATATACCTTAGAAAAAGTCGTCTTTTGATTTTATTTTTTTTCTATTAACATGTCGTCCTGGACCTACCAATATTCTTGTTTTGAGGTTGAATATTTTAAGTATTTCACAACTCATGAAATAAAAAATACTCCTCTGTTATAGTTTTATCAGAAATGTATATGTACTACAGAGGGGTTTATCTTGAAATCTCACTACACCATTACAGTACATGTTACCATATCCTGTTATGCTCTATCTGACAAACATCTTGACAATAGCTCCACAATGTATCTTCCATTACAGAAGACTTTGACACAAGACTGTCATGTCTAAAGAACATCACTCCTCCCTGATAGCTTTCCATAATCCATCTAGTGTACAAAAATAACTGTTTCCTATTGTCCATTTCAACAGTCCAATCACACAGAAATTCATAGGTGCTGCATCTGGTGCGTGGTACAAAGGATCTGAACATTGTTCTGATAGTAAGCAGAGTGTACCATGACCTTTGTATCCTCTCTTCTGATCCTTTATTTGCTTCTGGCACAAATCCATTGATAATCATGAATCCATTTGAAGAAGTTTTGCAACATGCCATTTACCACTTTTGGGAATTTTGTTTTCAATAATTGCCCATTTAGAAGATTCCATGAGGCCTGTCAAGGTACACTACAATTCGAGTATGGCCATGTACTACAATTTTGTTCTGGCTAGGTACCATTACTACAGCTGGTTTTCCTTTCCTGTATATATTGTGGAAGAATCTTGTGTATACATGGCTTGTGTTGCTTTTTCAGGTGGAGATTCTTCATGATGTTGTGTACTGTTGCGTGGAACATGTGGACTGCTTTTGTAGTTGACCTTTGTATTTATGGATTCACATCTATTGCAAGATGCTGCACTTTGCTTACTACAATTGAGGTATGACTTGTTGCAAGTCTTTTTATGATTGGTTCTGATGCCCCAAGTTGAACTATATCCCTTTGTTTTCCAATGCCATTAAGTACAAGGGATATCACTATCTTGGTAATTCTGGAATCTTAACACGTCTTTACAATCTGAATGCAAGAATATTTTGCATCACAAAGGGCTGTTACATACCCTTCCCAAAAGCCATCTTTTTATCAGTGGCATCACATTACGTACAAAATGCCAAACATTGTCAAAGTGTAGTTCCATTGCAATTTTGTATTGATTGTGGTTGTCAGTTGACTTGCTGATCTGTATATTAAATGTTTCAGTATAATGTACTCAATCCTCTGTTTACTAACTTAGATGTTTACAAAATAACGTGCTTTCTTTTTCCCAGGTATTTGTGGATCTTGTGCTATGAATATTTGTGGCGTCAACACGCTGGCTTGTACTTGGTAAGTTTGTTGTCTCGGTATCTCTAAAGTTCAAAATGAGAAAACATATTTAAAGATAAAAAATTAGAAGCATTGTGGTGTCAACACGCTGGCTTGTACTTGGTGAGTTTGTCTCGGTATCTCTAATGCTATGACTATTTGTGGCGTCAACACGCTGGCTTGTACTTGGTAAGTTTGTCGTCTCGGTATCTCTAAAGATCAAACTGAGAAAACATATTTAAAGATAAAAATTAGAAACATTGTGGCATCAACACGCTGGCTTGTACTTGGTGAGTTTGTTGTCTCGGTATCTTTAAAGTTCAAAATGAGAAAACATATTTAAAGATAAAAAATTAGAAACATTGTGGCGTCAACACGCTGGCTTATACTTGGTGAGTTTGTTGTCTCTGTATCTCTAAAGTTCAAAATGAGAAAACATATTTAAAGATAAAAATTAGAAACATTGTGGCGTCAACACGCTGGCTTGTACTTGGTGAGTTTGTTGTCTCGGTATCTCTAAAGTTCAAACTGAGAAAACATATTTAAAGATAAAAATTAGAAACATTGTGGCATCAACCCGCTGGCTTATACTTGGTGAGTTTGTTGTCTCGGTATCTCTAAAGTTCAAACTGAGAAAACATATTTAAAGATAAAAATTAGAAACATTGTGGCGTCAACACGTTGGCTTGTACTTGGTGAGTTTGTTGTCTCGGTATCTCTAAAGTTCAAAATGAGAAA